ATTTGGAAAGAGTTTGTTCAAAGATGCTCATTTAGGAAGGCTAACAAAGCTGGGAATTACTTAATTACTCCGAAAGGTGGCTAATATCGTCCTAGTAAGGGAGGGTAATTCAATCACTAGGCAATTAATTACTTTGCGTTGTTTGTGCTCGGGGACACCGGCTGAGTTTGCATTTTAGAAACCCCTAAAGCTTAGCGTTTCACTAATTTTTGTAACAAATTCAACAAAAGTCACACGTTTTGGAAAGTGAAATTTTGCTTTTTTTGCATAAAGGGTTTTGACCTCACAGTATTAACCTTAGATAGTTAAGTATTACACTTATTTAGGGGATAATTTGTGGGGTTAAAGGTTTAATCCCACAAAATTAACCTTTTTGTTAATTACTATAAGTAGTGAAGTAGTACGCTTATTTAGCCTGATGATGGTTGTTATAATTGCCCTTTATGTTATTTTAAGGCCATTTTTCAAACATTGGCTTTATATAAAAAAAATTCGGTATGTACAAACCGAACTACTACCAAATATTGAAACAAAAAAATATTGGGTACAAATATTGAAAAATGTCCGATGAAACAAGTTATTATTGTCTAATATATTCATTTGCTGTTTTATATTACAATATTTTGGAATGATTCTTAGTTTATTTTTAAATATTTTTTTATTAAATTATTACAGTACATAGTTTTATATAACTAAACAAACAAACCGTTTGGAAAAAGATTGCTGACAGATGTAGATAATCATTTTAGAATACAAGCAATAGCTAAAACCATTGATTGTAAATTTGAATAGGAAAAATCTAAGAAAACTATATTTTATAGTTAGAAAAAAGAATTAGAGGTCTACTTCTACTGTGTGATTTATTTATTATTAATGGAATTATGAAATCAGTTAACAACTTACAAGGAAAATAATACGTCACAGTTATTGGACAACTTCTGAAACTCTGACTTGAAAATAGAAAAATACTTTATCCAAATTAAATGTATAGCATTATTCATAAAAACAAACACCATACAGTAGGCTAGTTGATAAAAATAAAGTTTATAGACATTTGCACGACTCCTGAGTATTGTGAAAACTGCAAACCAGACAGATTTGCTGAGAAATAGTAGCATTTGTATTGCAGGCGCTTCAATAAGTCTACTGCGGTACCTATAAATTTGTAGTATTAAATTGTACCGTTTATTCGTCAAGCGTGTTGGTTGAAGCTATTACACGTGACAAAATATAATTTTAAAACTATTAATTGATATATTTTTTAAAATTAAATTCATCAAACATAAATTAATTTTCATTACTGTACTAAATTGTGTGTTGCACTTGTTGGCTTGAAGATAGGGTTGTGCAACCAATTTAATCTATAACCGCATATAACATTTTAAAATTGTGAAATTTATAAAAGCTTAAAGAATTTGAAAGTAAAATAAATACTACTGATAAAATAGTAAAATACTTTATTTGAAGCCTTAAAATGTAAAATAATTTCATGTTTTGAATACATTTTATATTTGTCTGTACCGAATTTATTTTCTTAACTTATAGCCCTCCGAATTTTAAAGATTTAATAAACAATTTACAACCATAAATTGCATTATTGTATTATATAATAAGGTGCTAACAAAGAAACCACTCATCAATTTTCCTTAGAAATATAAGTTATTTTCAATTGTTATTTATGCTTGGGTTTTCATCTAACAGTATCTACCGGTGAATTTGTTTTCAATATAATCACATGACAAACATTACAGTAAAAATATATTCTCAAACTAACAATTCACTAAAAAAAGTTTAAGCAATTAAATTTGGATTGTAAAACAATTAAAATCCTATTCTGAAGAAAATAATCGTTCTAGCAACATCCACATAACCATAAACAACAACAACAGTTAACCACAAAATCTAACTACAGCATAGTTAGGCTATTAACAATAAACAGACTACGGTAACTACGCCTAACCTCTGCACAGTTTGACAGCAATAAGTTGTGTGGTGTAGACAATGTGGGGGGGGGGGGTAAGTTGTGAACAATAATTAATTTTCCGTCAAAGCACATACACAAAACACAGTCCCACACGCAGACACTAACTAAACTTAAGGCATTAAATTATCACACATGCAGCTTAAAGTTACCTCGGAGGAATGTGAGGTCACATGGTTGAAACGTTATTGGTTTTACAGTTTTAAACATTATTTCAATAATTACAAATCAATTGCGAGTTTAGGGTTTATTTCACAGAACTTAGGCTAAAAGGTTAAACAATATTTACATTGTTCCAGCTCCATTTAGGGATCTAAAATGTTAATTTTAGCACATTTAAGCTTGATTGATTGAAGAAACAAACCTTCAGGAAAATATCTTTTTTTATCAAGAAGTTTCCCCAAAGCTGGTCTATAGATGGAATATATACTTCTGAATCCAAAAGACAATGATACAATATAACACACAGCTCTACTACTACAGTAGTCCTACGACACTCGTTTCATTGCGACAATACTTCAATTGGAAGTACTTCATCATTATCTGTTATTGCACAAAGGCACCAACGTATCAGTTCCTGTAATGTGGTTAATTTTACCACCGTTTAACCATTAAAATGCGCGTAGTGGAACAAGTATTCCCACTTAATCGTTGACACACAAATTCTTCGACAAATCTGTATTGCACGCACACTTATTCATTCGATATTTCTATTTGGAAACCATATTTTTCATTTTCAGTTACATCATATCATACTAATATTAGTATTATGAATGTGAAAGTTTGTGTGTTTGTTTGTTTGTATGTTTGTTTGTTTGAAGTTCAATTACACGTTAACTACTGGTCGGATTGGGCTGAAATTTGGCATGATGATAGCTCACATTCCCGATTAACATATAGGCATATTCTTATCTCAAAAATCCTTTCGGGCTCCGCCCCAGTGTTTCGACAACACAAGTTGGTTCTATGATATTCAATAGCATTAAAAGGTTAGAAGGTTTACCAACAGGGTGCAGCACTATTAATTATTTTTGCATTTATGACAACAGCTAATTTGAACCAAGCAGGAACAAAAAACTGTGAGAGAACTTTACTTTTTCAATTGTTTAGATGCAGTGGTAGAACATTATGGCTATGGTAGATGTGCTATACGATAGTATAACTAAATTATAGTAAACGTGTACTCTCCCATTGCAAACGCACGAGTATAACTGCAATAAGCATTTTATACTTATACCCCTACCCCGTACGAAGGACAATCTGCTAGTTTCCTTTAAAAATACTATTTTTGTAGTACGACCTAACACTTTAAAAAATTGAAACTTCACAGAGTTATTTTCAATCGCGACCTTGATAAGAATGCATTTTCTACTTCGAGACTAAATATGGCCGCGTTCATTTAAGTCATCATATTTACACGATCGTAGATGACGCGACGATTGCATACATTATGACTACTAGTTCGCCCACTGTCCATCTGTGGTCCGTTAGTGCAGGTGTAGTGTTAGTGTTAGGCCACCTCTTTATATGACGTGGAACTATTTATACACTCGCGTTTCTCGTGAAGGCATCATTGGGACGAATTTTACATGAACTTCAAACGTGGAACAGGATCTAAAGCGGTGTTTGTAAAGACATCCTACTAATATTATAAATGAGAAAGTTTGGATGTATGGATGGATGTATGGATGTATGGATGGATGTATGGATGTATGTTTGTGACAAGTGAACACGAAAAATACTGGTCGGATTGGGCTGAAATTTGGCATGATGATAGCTCACATTCCCGATTAACATATAGGCATATTCTTATTTCAAAAATCCTTTCGGGCCTAAGCAATCCTCTATGTCTTGGTACTACAAGTAAAACAAAGTCCAAGGACGATTTAGGGTCTATAAAAATAATGAAGAAAACCTTGCTATATTTTGGAATTGCTTTAATGATCTAAGAAAAATATATTACATAATTTTACCCAATTTAAATGTTATGGATACTGAATACTGTCTCATACGTATAATTACTAAACTCTAGTAAATAACTATTCCATCGTAATGGAGACAAGCCCTTTAAACAACCATGGACGTAACTAAAGTTGGTTTTGTTCCACTTCGACGAACTCGGCTTAAAATGCAGAGTGGCGTCAATTTGACTTTACAATGAGCATGACGTGAGGTACCGGTGTTTCCAACCATCAACTAACATCAATAGACTATAGTCTGTACAGAGTATCCTGTGCGCCATCTGGTATTGGAAAAAAGTAGTATGAGTATGGGGTTTTGTGGAGGTCCCATTTACTAAGGGATTTTTCATCGTATTTAGTTGATCTTAACCTCATAGACTTATAGTTTATAACTCTTATATAGTCTGAATGATGGAACTTAGTCCAACACGAATTATAATTTATAATCAAATTTATATCCAACACATTTTAAAATATCTATTCATTGAATTCGAGCAATCCAAATACAATGGTTTACTAACTTGTTTGTTTATTGTTTTTGTTTACTAGCATTTCTGTGACTTAACTTTCACCAAATTACATATTCACCTCATTAAATATATGTAAATAGCGGCTTTAAGTCCTATTCATGTTTCGACGTGTAGATAACGACCTCTGTTAGAACTTAGTAAACTATTGGTCTTTATTTCACTATATATTAGTAATCTTAAATTAGATTTTACATGTAATCATTCTTGTTGATTCCTTCTGATGGCGTATAAAAGTACCGTAGCTTTTAATTAAATCAAATCGATAGACCATTATCAGTAAACTCTGGTGTAATATGACTTACTGCTTAAGTACTTAGAGACATTTTACAGTGATAACTATTTTAACAATTATTAGGTAAAGCATTTTTTCTATGATCAACATTATGATCTGTAACATGGTGAATTTTATTTCACAGTTTAAAATATTTAAACTCTACGATGGCCTGATTTCGTTGTTTACTATCTAGTGCCTACGGCACTACTTACTTACCACTAAGAAATTCTGTAGTACGATTATTGGTAACTTACATTTAGACTTGATGATCTGTATGTCGACGGTTTCTACGGGTGTGGCCTCTTCCGCCACCACCTTCCAATGCACTCTGCGAGACAGCAGCATCCCTGCAAAAATAACACTCAATAAAAATTTATTAATGCCATTAAAATTATAACAGTAATAGGCAGCGTCAATCAGTACAACACATGGGGTTGTATGTAGCATTTTTTTGTGTTTTCAACTTGAGTAACAATACATGAGTAGCTGCAGGGAGTGAGACATTTTTTTTTTGCCTTTGATAAGCTAAAGCAATCTCATACATGGACTAGCTGTAGCCAATTCTTAAACAATAGTTAAACTAACTACTCACAGAGGCTTTTAAGGTTTTAAGTAGTGTTTGAATTGCGTTAGTACAATGTATATTAGCAAGCATGCTTCTTGGAAACCTCTTTTCTCAACTAGTGTGCATGATAGGGAAAATTTACGCATACTGTTAGAAAGATATTTTCCTGTTGATGTGCAGAATCCCTTTGTAATTAAAATAAGCTCAAAAATAAGCACAACAAATTAATTAACATTTAAAAAATACTTACATGGGTCTTGAAATATAAACAGAAAATCAAAACAAATGGAAGAAATTCCAATCACATGTTTTATTTACATTGTTAGGTGAAAATAGAAAAGCCTGTAAATTACATATTTTTTGTCGAGTTTTCAACCACTGGACGACCTCTAGTATAAGACGTAAAAATTATATTCAACTCTTAAATTAATGAACTAGGTCTAAGTAAAATGTTTCAGGGATAAATACTATATTTACCTCTAGACAAACATAATTCCAGTCTCTATTAATCTACACTTATTTAGAGTATAACTTACTACATGTGGAGGAATTTTTAATACCGGTACCTATTGTATTGAATTCATAGTGATGTATGCATAGATAGTTTCACAAATAGAATTTAAGTGCTAAACGGCTTAATTGTTTATGGTTTCATCCATTTATTTAATTATTGCTTTTTCTGAATTTCAATCATAAAAAAATGAAAAAGGTGCATTTAATAAGTATGTCCCATTTTTCCTCTTAGTGTCACAGTTTCAATTGTTGTAGTTTCCAAGAGAGCTCTCCACTTCCAGACGTCCAGACGGTTTAGCAGGTGTCAGCTGTTCATTATTATGTTTTATGACGTCATTATAAACCACAGATGCGTACACACGATCACGAAAACACTGTTAGGCCTCAGGCTCTCCTTTGAGCAATGTATGTAATAAAGAATGTTATACATGTAACTCCTTTTCCTTTGTTCGATTAGGCCCTACCACTATTTTTTCAGTTCGAAATTTTATTATTACTAGAGGTCGGCCAGTAGTCGAAACTCAACCAAAAATATACAATGTGCAGACTTCTCTATTTTCACACCACCCTGTGAGTAAAACATGTGATTGGAGTTTCTTTCATTTGTTTTTATTTTCTGTTTATATTTCGTCACCAGCATGATAACCCATAAGATCCGTGTTAATTTTTTCAAAATTTTAAATTCATTTTCTGTGCTTATTTTCGAGCCTATTTTAATTTATAAAGTGATTCTGCACATCTACAGGAAAATATTTTTCCAACAGTATGCGCAGATTTTTCCTGCTATGCACGCGAGCAGAGAAAAAAGGTTTTAAAGAAACATTCTTGCCTATTAACTAACTAACTATAGATTAACTAATTAATTATAGATACATTTTGCAACCCTGTTTATGGTTAGGTTAGAACCAAGACATCCTTAAACTCGACGACCACATATTATGTGATCGTTGCTCAAACTTCAGGAAGAATGAAATTTAATTTTAAAATCACGAAACACACTCTAACACTGTTTGAAAAACTTAGAAATTAGATACATGTTTTGACATTTAAATAAACTTACTATGGAGGTATAAACTCGGAGATGCACCAGACCTAACCCTAAACAGGATTTTTAGATTGTTAACCTTTTTAACTTCTACCAAAAACAATGGTGGCAATTGTTCGTACGACGTACGATGGAAAAAGTTATTTTTTTTAGTATAGATACTTTTATAACAAAAAGAACTGATCAGACTACATTGGAGGAATTCGAGTAGTGTGAAAAAGGATATATGATTCATTGCCGATAAAAATAATACGTAGGTTTAAAACTGATTATTGATCCCTTCTTTGTATGTACATCAGGATCTGTAATTCTTATGGAGCTGAGGATTTAAAGCTTTTTTGTCTTGTGTATATTTACGTTGATCTTAACAATTTATTTACTTGCATTTCACCAACATCGAAACTATTTTTATAAAATTAAAAGCTCTGTTAATAAGCTACCGTAGGTCTCATGGTAAGACCTAGGTTCATAACTTTTTCTCCAGACCTTTTTAAAGAGCTTAAAACAAATAATTACGTATATCAAAGTGTTTTTGTACAGTTATTGGTTACGGAGAAAATTATGGAAAAATAATTTAAAATTCAATTGTAAAATGTTGTAAATGGCTTGTTTATGGATGTATTTTGATTAAACTTGGCAGATTTATTTATTTTATACTAAGCTAAACACTCATAGATAGAAAATATTTAAATACTGAACGACAATAAGGTGTAATATTGCTTTAGAATGGACAAATAAAACAAATGAGTTCTGATAGGATATAGTCATAAAGCCCTGTTACCGCGACAATCTCTCCACCAGAAACACGGTACTACTTTCACCGAGAATTTACAAAAATTTATCTTAGAGAGTTTATCTTATGTAATACTCTAAGATACTAAAAGCCCATAATATTAAGCAATCCACGAATATTAAGCATAAAGTTATATTAAAATTATTATATCTATTAAAAATATTAAAAGTTGTTTTAATATTCCTGGCAACATCCGGGATTTTTACGCTTTTGAGGAGGGATTTCTTCCGGAGCGTTGTGGCAACACTGAACATTTATACTCCCCGCAAACTTTCGTGGCGGCTGAGGGATTAGGACGGCCGAGAGGTGGCCCAGCCCCTAATTAGCCCTCGCTCGGCTGCACTGGGTTTTGACCATGAGTCAGGCACTAGGCGTAATGCATAGTTGATAGAGTTTTTGTATATCACCATAAAGTGTATTAAATAACGTCATTTTTGTAACCTGTATCAAATAACAAGAACATTGAGCCCAAACACGAAATAATTACGATGATTTTAAGTATAATTATTGGTTTTAAAATAAGAGACAGTTATTAGAACAAGGTTACTGTTCTGTTAATATATTTAAGGTTACTGTATTTACAAACTATTTACACTACTGTTCACTAACTATATGCAATTTACAATTATGTACGGTACAGAGAATATTGTCCAAATCACGCCGGAGATGAATGTGAAACAAAAGGATAATTACGATATTATTAAATACAGGCCTACACTTTGTTTTAGTATAAAATCATAGAATAAATTATATACATTTTAGACAATTTAAAAACTATTCACAATACTGTTCAAAATCAATTTACCGTTATGTTATCCAGATCCACTCATGAGCTGAATGTGTTACAAAATATTTTCTATATTAACAGTACAAACCTACACGTTTTTAAAGGATAATTCACAGTTTTCAGATCAAGATATACATATATCTAAGAGTATATTATAAGTCTGGTCGGTTCAGCAATGTGTATGTGATGGATTATCACTATATTGTATTTAAACGGTCACTATGCAGTTATAGGCAGGGTGAATCTGAATCTTAAGGAATGATACGGTCTAATCAGCGACAGCAAGGGATTGTTTGATAGTTAATTTATTTGTTTATAAGCCAATCATCGGCCTCAGGTAAGAGACACGACTCTCGGCTTTTAAAATATTAATTTTGAGATTTGCAATTATAGCACATATCGCCAATGCCAATTAGTCACTCACCGTGGCGGAAAGCGGTGTAGTCATGTAGCTACCCAAAAATCACTGCGAGTGTCAACGGATACAGACGACTCATAGTAAACAAACCCGGCTTTGAATCGCTAAAATTTCTATTCGTTTATAATTTACAAATGATACTTTCCTTTAACTAAAGCTAAATTTGATTTTTGTACTTTGGTAATTTGAGATTATTGATTAATATAAATACACCTCCCTAAATTCAGGCTCAGAGACACCTAGTGGTGACTAGACGAACTGTTGCGCTAGACTTAGTGCGATACATGCTACTAGCGCTAGCGTAGTCGTGAAACACAGTACGTTGTCGATGTTAACGCGAACATCAAATGGCCCGTAGTATACAACGGATCATCTAGCTATTACACTATTACAGTTAATTAAACTTTATAGAGGTAACTGAATTTGACATAAAGTTTACGTGGTATAATTTCCTCACAACATAACAATCCTCCAATTGAAACGCTGAGCTCAAAATGTTCAAAAATAAAATAGTAAAACATAATTTTTTATCGTTAACGTCTAATGTTTATACTCCTTTTATCTATGGTAAAATATACCTACAAGCTGCAGGTTCAACGAAAGAATGGACCCTTTATTTACAGCATCTAAAGTCAAAGTCAATACGGTGCCGGTAGCCATCTGTTAGTCAATAATTTCTATTTTTTATATTTTCTTTTCATAAACCAACTTTCCATAACTTAATTTGTAACTTTGCAAACTCTTAGACACCGTTTCTTCCAAGAAACTCAATGAGTTCACAGGCTGACGTTTTAAGGCATTTTCTTCCATCTAAAAAATGACAAGATCTTATTCTCACTGAACGGCAATAACGTCAAAACTATATTTTGAAAAGGTCTATATGATCCTTTCCTAGCACTTTACAAGACGAGTACGCATCCAGAATGTTTGTTTACAGAAATATGGCGACAGTATACAATGTTTCAGTATACAACGACAGATGTCAACAGAAGGAATACCTTCTGGGGCCTCTCGTCGTCGATTTGGCTCATCAAGTCCTAACTTGAATCTTGGAGTTTTATGGAGAAGCATCCATTGGAACCAACCAACCGGCAAGAGTTTCCATGCAAAAGTTACCTCTTGAAGAGGGACTTTCTCATCTACGAAAATGGGTTTTGTTAATTTATCATCACTTTGTTTAGCGCCCCAATAGAGAAAGTATTTTGTGAAGATGTACTAATACAATTAATCCAGTTATTTACATAAAATTTTTTAATACCTACCACGTTTACAATTAATAATTTATTTGTTTGTTGGTAACTGTCTTTTTTGTTAAAAGTAAGCTTGTAATGATGGTAGAATTTTGTAAAAAATACGAATAAAAAATTGGTTTGTTCATTGGTTTGGACACTTTTTAATTGAACTAAATTAGAAAAGACGATTTCGCTAAAGTAAGTGGTATGTGAAATTTATTCATTTTGTAGAGATAATATTGGTTAAATAAAATACGTAAAATTCTATAATCTAAGGCAATCAAAGCTCTTTGTATCAGATTTAAGATATTTTTCAATTATATATGTTATATACCTATCTACCTTTAACTATGGCTTGAACTAGATATTTAATTTAGTTGATTAAGTTGTAGTCAATTTTAGAATGATAATAAAAAGTCGAATCTATCTAAAGACAGAGTGCGCTGGTGTAATCACTGAATCCTGCCAACTACAGCCAAGCCAAATTGTAAAGACGACTTATTGTTATTGTAGCATCTTTTATGTCTCAATCTCATCAAACATCACAATTACAAATAGGCTGTAGAAAATATAATTTTGAGCTGTAGTACAACCTTCTTTTTGTTGAAAAAAAAACACCTTCCTTAGGCCTAACTATGTTCCGAACACCTTAAACAAATGTGCACATAACATATTTTAAGTTTGCCTCTTCATTACACAATACACACTGTCAATTTGATAGCAGAACAAGATTTATCATGTGATTACTCATAACCAGACAACACGAGTATCAGCTGATGAGTTGCACGTGTGTCTGGCGGAGTGTCTAGTTATATTAAGACACTGTTTTACACCTGTTTCTGTCTTCTGATGTCTGGGAGCTCGCAGGACCTTTGTTGTATTAGTTTATAACTTGCAGAATGAAAACTGTGTTTTTCAAAAAGGTGACATTTGGGGTTTCAAGGTTCTTTTACGCCGGCAATTTACAGGCTTCACGTCACTTTAGGATGTTTGGAAATACAGTAGGTTAAATTTGACAGAAAATATTTTTCTACAGTTATATTCCACAACCTTCAAGCTTCTGGACATAGCCTTTTTTATAAAAATGTCATCAAATCAATTCCCTAGGACGACTTACGCTGTATTTTAAGCTAACTATTGAAACACGAAGGTAGAACAGAGTGAGATGATATTTGTAGCTTATAGTTGCTACTTCAGGATCATACGTTTATGATTATAGTCTGTATAATAAAACCTGTCTTCAGACCGGAGTCTACATGTGACTATCCTATGCCTTAAGCCGTTGGCCAGCCTCCAGGTAGACAGATTCTATCATACATACTATAGGTTAGTTATCAAGGGCTTCTTGGTGCATTTTCCACATCCTGCAAGAGTTTTAGGAGGCCTATAATTTAAAATATTTTCTCCAGAACAACCGTAAATCTACCTCAAAAACATTTCTCCAGACGTTCAAATAATTGAACAACATAACAAATTGAACAACTTTTTGGAAATCTTTGGATATAAAACACATGCAGAGTTAAGCGTTTGGCATGACAGCAGGTTTCTACATTTACGAGATATTGCTATATAGTTAGTTGTCTTGTTATCTAGCAGCTTACAAGTGTCTTCATTAACTAGCTCAATCAGGCAGTCGTCCAAGTGCAACAGTTCATTCTAAATCAAGCAGCAGTTAGATTGTCACGGTACTGTTGGTGTACAGGTTTGGGTTGTTTGTGTGCGCATGCTCTTGATACAGTTAAATCGCAGAGAAACCAAATTTATAGAGAAAATACAGGGGAGAAATTTTGTTCTATGTGGTTTGAGGCACGAAAGGATTGAGTGTGGTTTCATAAGACATTTGCAACTCTAGGATCGAAAATTTACGTGATAATAGAAAATAGCTTTCAGTGGAGAAAAAGAAGGAACAACAATAAAACTAAACAATTATTAGTTTAGTCAAGTAAAATTTACAGCTTCAAATATATCGGATCGTAAATTCGATACAATGTGCAAAATTATACAATAACAAGTATAGAAAAATCGTTTAAAAGAAACACTTTCCCTCGAAATCCAGTATTTGTTATGTTCAGCGATATTATGTTTTGGTAAACAATTACAAATTAATTACACTGTACTGTAATCACAATTATAAAGTGACAAAATATGTATTTATAAGGTGAAAATATTTAACTAAAATGTAATTGTTTTGTATTATTCCAACATTTTTGAGAAAATAATTCGTCAATATTAAATTAGTTTCAAATCGAACAAAGCGGTTTCCCTTTGTTTCAGTTCAATTTTTGCACACAATCGTAACATTAAGTCACGTTTATCAACAATTTAAATAACCCTCTACTTCATAACATTTTAATAAATAAAAATCTAAACAGTATCCCTCCTACGAGCATCCAGAAATTAAAAGCCAAATGGCGAAATAATCTATACTACCTGGTGACACACATATGATAACCGCAGATGGTCAGTACGGGTAAGTAATAAGCCACTGATAAGATAACACTACACTCCCAACTCCGCACGGCACAACGCGAACCGACACTACACTGAACTGCACACTGACAGACTCCTCCCAAAACACTTCCGCCTACCTGCCACAGTCCACACTAAACAGCTGTTGATACCGTCTGTCGCAACAATGACACACACTGAACATATCAGCTGTGCAAATCAGATATACAATCATAGCAATGGTGATTAAATCATTGACTTTGGGATTCTGAAGTGGACATATCCACCTGTATTGTACAGAGTGTCCCACGAAGAGGTTTTGAGACGATTAATTTTGTATTATATAGTCGATCTATGGATCGAAATCTTTGAAACTTTGCACAGTTTAAAAAGTAGGGTTTGAAAAAAATCTGTGAAAATTCCAGTTTCCTCGTTTGTAGAAACAAAATCGTCGCGTATTATAACCAACTAACCAATTTTGCTACCTATAACAATTACTTTCTTTGGTTTATTATTAACCGATTTAATTACTGTGTTGCAGTTTTCACTTGTGCCATTATTTTTAATTCAACAAATGAAACAATTATTCCAACTTCCTCCTTAATATTGCGCTATACCATTATAATGACTAATGAGTAATGACTGTCAAAATATTATTGAAATCTACTAGATAGGCTACCTTAATTACCTAATTTATCATTATTTAAAAAGTACTAAAATAAATACCTATAGTAATCACGTTTCATATACCTATACGTTTAATACCTAATAGAACACTTGTCGAGGAATACTGGCAAATGAACAGCACTCGGATATAAGATATAACTGAGATCTACTAACAAAGTGCAATGTACATTTCACAATAAATTATCTGCAATGCCAAAACAAATTTATTGATTCCCGTATTATCAGAGAACCGATTCATTAACAACTATATTGCAGAAAGAAGCTTTTTGTTTTAAGTAAATTATACCAGTACTAAACCATCATGCATTAAAGTTGCTAGGAAAATATTATTAACATTGTTTAATAGTCAAACAAGTACTAAATGATCAATGAGACAGCTCAATTCAAGTGATAACTAATAATTTTTCATAGTTAAATCTAAGTTATATATCTGTGATTTTATCACACGGTGTAAAGCATTACTTCAAAATTCTACTTCCAAATCTCTATTATTATATTAAAAATGTTTGTTGGATTTTTGTATTCAGCAAATTGAACCAATATCATTCTTTTAAAAAGTTGAAAATATTTCTCGACATTAAACAAATATTTGCTTTAAGGTATATTTATTTATTTTTTGGGATGGACGAGTCTCAAATTTTAGAGATAAAAATCTCGTTTGTTCGAGTAAAACTAACTTTACTCCGAGAATTTTTTGAGACGGTTATAAAAATTTACAGTTTAACGCCTTCAGAAAGTCAATGCATTGCAATACAGGAGCGCGCTGTTGTTGCGTTTACTCTGCGAAGGCGTCTTATTTACTTAATACTTTACTTAAGTAAATGTTGCATTAATTAATAGTGCTTATTTAAGTTAACGTTGAACCTTTGGGGATAAGCAAGGTTTTAGTTTTCCATTGATTATTTAGATTTTATTTTTTTCTTATTCATGATTTTTAATTCTTGTAAGCTTTATTATTTTGTATGCATTTTGTGTACCAACCTTTGTAATAAATAATTAAGTTATTGCACTTTAGTTGTTTTAATAGTACTTTCCTGAATCTGACCGGCCACAGCCATTAACAGCCTCAATTGGTTTGTTTTGTATAAGAACGGAATAATAAAGATTGTATAAATATGCACCATTTCTTACACATAACAAAGCCTGAATTCATAACAACAAAGTTACTAATTAAAATTTTTTTTATTAGGTTCCCTGTACAGATTCGTCACCAGACTGTTTTCTAGAAGTTCTTCTTCATCAGGTTCATGGTTTAGAATATTTTTATGGGGAAATATGTTACTGTAACTATTTGGTGCATTTTAAGGTAGGTACTGGAATAGTACTCGTATATTTCAGTACAAGTACTGAAAGTGGCATTTTCCAGTGGACTCTCAAGATTTATGTGTGGGGCAAAGCCCAATACTAAAACACCAAATTTCACTTGCAAGGTGAAAACCTCTTAGGTATACCACGTGTTTATATTTCTTTTGTTGAAGAGTAAAAACAGGGGATTGAAATTATAAAGTAAATTATAAAGAAACACTAGTGCACGTAGTGAATGGAGAATTAATCAAAGAGAAAGTAAATTTAGACCAAGGGAAAAGAATTATACTTCCTTTGATATCAGCACCTATCCAAAATAGCCACATTGCTAGACTACAGAGTAATAATTAAGTTTTACAACAACAAATAATCAAATTGAAATAGTTTTTTTAACACTGGTAATTAAATAATCAACACAGGCTAAAACATGACACCGGAAAAAAATGAAAATTAATTTCTTCCATCTTTAAACCAGTTTAGTTTAAACCAGATAGTAATTAGTTTTGTAAAAATAATAAAAATAAAAGTATGCAAACCGGACAAAATGGTTGGTTTAATTTTCATGGTACACCACAACTTGATGCAATGGGTGCGTTCTACCTGTCCTCCGCGCGCTAATGCAAGGGTTTAGGATCTCCATAATTGTCGACTTAGTTCTTAACCGATTGAAAATACATTTATGTTAATTTATTCATTTCTTATTTTTGTAGGCCTGTACGGTTGTAATTTTGTGCTGATAGAAGAAATTTAAGTGTGCAGTGACTGGTAAATACCTCAAAATAAGCTTTTTCTAAACCATTTTACTCATGAAAATTATTTTTTTATGGAAATTAAACCCAGAGAATCATAGATTTGAATCTAAGGAGTAAGGAACCTTCTTCAGGTGAAACAAAATCTTTTAAGTTAACTGAGAAATTTGAGAGGCTGTAATCGTCTGCAAGCGCTTCTCGTGGCGCTGTTCTATGATGCAAAATAGCAACTGAAGCCAGAGCTGAGGTAGAGCGCACCCTAAAGTTTAAATGTTTTCATAAGAAAAAAAAGAGAGTGAGCTATAAGAAATAATAGTACCTCCTACAGTTGTAAAGGAGTGAAATAAAACACAACATATTATTTAGTAACTTTTAACTTTACATATTTAAAGTAATAAAAGATCAACTATGTACACATAAATAATGTAACAGGCTATGTACTACACAGCCGCATAGTCAACTTTTACAAAGGAAAACAGAAGGAAACAAGTAATATACAATACCTCAGAAACATTTGGTGGATTTTGAATGTACAATTATTAAGATTGACTTATTGCCATTAGTAAAAAAGGGAACAATAAATTAAAAACCGCAAAAGTATGCCAGTTTATACCTAGTCAGTCTTCCAACTAACATTTCAGTGACCGTAGCCAATTTAATGGGCCAATAAATAAATTATCTAATTCAACATTTACATCCATTTTTTTGACTTCCAGGGATATATTTAAAAATATTCTATAGCCTATAAGGAATTTTTAATACTATTTTTTTTAAACACAGATCTCATGACACTTTGAATTTGCCTCCGAGGTGTTAAAATAATTCTTCAGTAAAAGGCGATAAATCTTTAAAATTCAGAATCAAATTATGCAAGAAAATGATACAAAGATATTGGTTAATTAACTGAATTATTATCACAATTTTTTAGGTTTGTTTTACCTAAATTTAACATATGTAAAATGTACAGAAGACGTTCTTAGATCTGTACTTTAATAACACTTCTTGGAATTTTGGCACATTTTACATTAAAATGATAACACACAACAAGACTGGACTGGAAAATAGAAAAAACAAGAATTGTTATAATAAAATAAAAAATAAATTTTCCAATGTTCACTTTAGCTCAAAATTCTAACAGAACAAACACTTTCTTCAAAGTGAGCTTTAAGGCAAGCATAAAATTAAGTTGACAGTCTGTATTCAATAACAATATTGACGTTCCCCATGCAAACTTTAAAAACGTTAAATCTAACTTATATAACTACATACATACAAGCATGACTCCATATGTACAATGTCAAAACACAACTTGAAATAAAGATAAGTCACTAAGATTATCATCGCACATTCTTCAACAAAGGTTTCCAATCCAAATTAACTGGAATAGAGTCGTGCACAGTTCACTTTTGGAACCTGAAACAGAATTTTCCGTAATAAGCATGGGTACTTAAAAACCTGTAATCGGTTCATGGGCGTCCATCTAATTTTTACATGACCGTCTGGAGGGTTCGAAACAAACCCAGTATAAAGGATAGTCTCCCCCAAAAAATAGTTTAAATATAGGTACAACATGTATGATTTTACACGTTATTGACCTGAATTTCTTGCAAATAGAAAAGGTTTAAATTACCTGTTGCGTCAATTGATCCTTAATTACGGCCGTTTCGTACTGCTAAACGAGTACATCTTCAGGTTGTCTATGAACGTTAAAATACATCTTGGTCAAATGCGTGAATTTATCTATATGTTTTTACTGCACAGTCAAAAAAAAAACTTTGTTAATATGGGGTCTTATTAACAAAATTTTTCTTATAGCCCCCATATCCCATATTGATGGATGCCCATGTAACGATTACATTACAAATCAACAAACCTTAATTCATTATGGCTCAAAGTTCCAAAAGATTTCAAGAACCTTCTTACTTAGCCGTTATTTAACAAACACCAGTTGAGTTGACGTTTACATTAACTTGCTTACATATGAAATTTTAATACCCTCAGCACCAAAACGAAGCAAGTTACCTGTTGGTTTATTGCAATTTAATTAATTAGATCCAAAAAGATTAATAAAAATACGTAAATTTACTCAATAGTCACCCTCAAAACAAATAGCATTGGCTCAATGAATACTTTGGTTGCTGCTACAAGACAAAAAATTGTTTTTAGTTAAAATTTAAATTAACCAAAGGAAAAGAAATGAAAATCTTTCCATATGGTAACAAATAATGGACAGATTTTTTTATTTGCCATAAGGATAACATAGGAAAACTCGGTAAATTTCTAATAACACTCATATCAACAATTTTCAACACTGAAACATGTTGTAGAATTGTTTAGTAAATACCAATAAAAGTTTTTTCATTGTTTTATACGGCACATAACACAAAGAAAGGATCTTTTGGTACTCAGTCAATTGACTATGAAGTGATCATAAACTAGGATAGATACAAAAAGCAGAATCAGTGCAACCTTAGGAATAAAAATGATAAAAAATACCACCTTGTTGTGAAGGAGGTGAGATCAGTCTCGACTTCTGTGACTAGACCTCTTACCCCTGGAATGATCCGGGGACCTAGAGTAGCTGTGGCGTCTACGTTTGTGTGACGACTCGCTGGAGTGGCGACGGTAGTGATCGCGACCTCTGCTACGTGACCTCGACCTCGACCGTGACCTCTCCCTCTCATACCTGTGACTGTGACTAGACTTCTTGTGTGATTTCCTTCGATCGCTACTCCTACTGCGGCTCCTCTTACGCTTCTTCTTACTGCTTTTCTTTTCTTTCTTTCTCTTTGAAGATTTTCTCTTTTTACGCCTAGAGCTCGAGCTAGATCTGCTAGAAGACGACGATTTGCTTGAAGAATTTGAATCTTCGCTGCGGTCTACTGAACTTTCTTTCTCTTTGTGTGACCGTTCTGGGGTAAAACTTTGCAATTTGCTTCGCTCAAATTTTAACTCAGAGATTGCTTTTGGTTTTTCTGCTTCATCTTCGGCCCTATTACCTAAAAAATCCATCACTAACATTTACTCAACCAGGAAATGTTCACTGAAAATACTTTGTGAACATTCATATGCATTAAATACAATACCTTGTACACACCAGTTTAATGAATGATACGATGAGCTTGGAGAAAAATATATGAGCATTTTAAGGACACAGGAGAAAATTAAATAATCATATTTTCTTTTACAGAAACACTTTATAAAGCATGAGTTTTTGGTAAAGGTTTTTTTATCTGGTTTTTAATAATCTGTAAATCCTCAACAAATCCAAAGTTGAACACTTAAAGATTTCAAAATATTTTGTAAAAAAAGTTACTGTTCATAAAATGGGCAAATGTATCATAAAATTATTTATTTATCAAATGAACTGATTAGATTAGTTAATCTTAATTAATGGTAAATGTACTAATATTTCACACAGAAATGGCTATATGAACATTTTTAAGGATGTAAAGAATAATAACAAGATTTCAGATAAAGTGTTGAGGTAAACAACAGTGATGTGATGTTTCATAAATGCAACACGAGTATATTAACTTGGGAAATACATTTAAAACACAAAAATCAAGTTAAAAAAGTTGGGTAGTCAGGCACATGAGGGGATACGGTAATATTTTTGGTATTATTTTGAATTCCTATACCAAACATTGAATCAATACTCTCTCTTTCTCTCTTTACAAGAGAGAAACTAACACAATTTTTAAACTTCGTTTCACAATCATTTTTCTGTCATTCTTTCATTTATCACTTAAAAATTCAAATATTTTCTAAAGGAAATTTACTGAACTTACCAAGATGAACCGGCTTAGGTTCTACCTGTCCCATATCTTTTCCTCGTTCCTGTCTGTCTTCTTCCTCCACGTCTTCCTCAGTTTGCTTCTCTCTATCACGCTCCTCCTGCAGTTCCACTTCATGTTCAATATCTCGTTCAACCCTTGCAAACTCCTGCTTCTTGCGACTGATTCGTTCCTGCAAAATCCGTTTATTTAAAAAGCCATCATCAGGTATTTAAGGTACCGTACATCAATTGAAGTGAATATTAGTAGAAAATTGCAAAGTAAAATGGAGTTACACAAATTAAATTTTTGTTTAAAGTTGAGTCCCTAATTAAGAACACCATAAGGTATTCTTTTGTGAATTATTTTTTTACCCACAAGACAATAAATGTAAAGATTGGAGTACCAACCAACATAGACTAACCAACACAAGTAGACTTCTCATCCCATTGTCACCAGTTTTTCGTGTCTAGGTCAAGTACGGTGACACTAGGCGCTAGTGTCGACAAAATTTTGTTTCTATTAGGCCTATTTTAGCGTTAATTTCTAGATTTGTGCATTACAATTAAGTTATATAACTAGAGAATGAGTTATTGTTTCTGATTAGATTGTATTATTTGGTTAAACAAGGTTTTAAATTACTGAAATAACAAGAAACAAGTTGTAAACATAACACGGCCTCTACAACAGTACACTTTACAAAACTAACAATAAAATTGTCTTCAGCTGTTCCATAAGGATGAGATATCTACTAAGGAAATATTTGTTATATATGCTACACCGCCAAAACAGAAACTAAATAAACACTTCTCTCATACCCTAGGCAAGTCTAAGGAATCAATCAAACAACACAAGTTTGTGCTGTTTGGACAACATAATTAGAATCAAGGATATTTATACTTAGCTTTAACTTGGATGGGGTATTGATTCCATTATATAAAAGATTAAAAGAAATTGTGATTAAAGATTTATCACTGATAGCCTACTAAATTTTTATTTTCAAGATCATGGATATGTGATTGTAGGTATTAAAACAACTAACCCTGCAAAAGTAACCCATTTGTTAACAAGTATTTCCAACCTTCCCCAACAAAATTTCACATTGTTGGGCTGAAAAAAACCTATTAGTTTAAACAAATAATAGGTATGGTATAACAATGATAAGTATGGCCTTAGTCACTAACAAGATTACAAGATTGTGCCATTCATCCTACCTACCCTCAAATCCATAACTTAAAATACCTACATTTGTATGGTCGCCATGTCAAAGTAAAGTATTAAAGTATTAACTACTAGTTTAAAATTATGTTTTAGTTAACTACTGGTTGACTAGTTGACTAGAACAAAAACAATATGTTCATCTTAACAGCTTCAGCTGGTAGCAAAGTTTTACAGCAAGATGGCACACCAAACCAATCGTTGTCAAGGACAATACCAAAGTTCGTCACTATCTGGGGGTGGAGAAATGTTCCGTGTTAAAATTGTTAATGTCACAATTTTTAGTTAAAAAAATATTTGGGTTTTATTCAAAGAGCCATCTAATTTTTATGATCAATTGGTGTGGGAACTAGTTATGCTTTACTGTGAGAACATTTTTACCATCACAGTATTAGAAAAAATTTAAATCACAAAAATATTTTGATGACGAGGAAAATATTACGGATTTTACATAGGACTGACAAATAAAGCCAACGCAAATTTATTAGATTTTTATTTTGTCTCAGTGACAATTCATCTGCGACAGCAGTAAATTCGTGAACACCTCCTGCGGGCCACAATCATGCTGACATCATCATCGACACTTGCGACCGTGGCAAAATCGTGAACATCTTCCGCGGGCCGCAATCATGAGGACATCATCATCGACACCCACGGCCGCGGCAAAATCTTGAACATCTCCCACGGGCCGCAATCACGGTAACATTATCATTGACACCCGCAACCGTGGTGAAATATTGAACATCTCCCACGGCCCGCAATCACGGGGGCATCATCGACACTCGCAACAGCGGCTATATCTTGAAAGTCTCCGGCGGGCTGCGATCATGAGGACACCTCACTGTCACCCGCGGCTGCGGCTAAATTAATAACGTCTCCCGCGGGCCGCAATCACGGGGAAATCATCACCGTCACCCGCGGCCGCAGTGAAATCGTTAACCCTCGGTCCACAATCACAACAACATCATTATCGTCACCTGCAATCGCGGCAAACTGATGGTTTAAAAAAATTTTTTTTATGTAAAAGTGTTTTTATAATCCACTAAAGGGGGGGGCCTTTGCTTGATCCGGCACTGGGTTTTGGATGGGTAGAACATGGCAGATGATTACGATATCTCTGCGATGGCATCAGTTGCTCATGGGTGTTGCCGTGAACGTTTTCTCAATTTTTTTAGAGGTTTCGGGTTTGGGCTTAGACACATTACTAATGTGAATGAATGAATGATACAAGTAACCCAGGGATGAGTTTATGGTACCGGCACTCTCAATTCACCTGCTGTCGAAGCACAAAGCTGTCATTATTGTTCTTATTGTTTATGACAGTACCGAAGTTCCAATGCCGATATTATATATTCTTGATTACAGCATTTTCCCCCAATAAACGGTGGTACAAAGAATTTCCTTTAGGTACTGACACTACTATTTCTTTCTACAATAAATTGTTCAACGTACAAGTAATATATTACTTGGCTGACAAATAAATACTAAGGGCTAAAAAAAATAATTCGGTACACCGATTCTTTGGGCATTAAATAGGAAAACTAAGTAGTTTTTATTCTGACCGGGCTTTCGGGCTCCACCCCAGTGGCTCTGGAGTTTCCCATGTTAACCTTATGATTTTTCATATTTAAAAGGAATTTATTAACAGCTGTTTCAATTAAACAAGTTGGTTCTGTTCTATGATGTTCTATAGCATTAAAGTTACAAGGATTACCAACAGGGTGCAGCACTATTATTTTTTTTAATTTATGACTACAGCCAATTTGCAATCAAAAGGTGAGTGAGCGTAGCAAACGAACTTCAACCAGGACGTGATTGAGCCATGCGAACAAGCTCACTTGTGAAGTTAAACGGGGCAAAGCCCGCGGCTACAGCTAGTCTAAATATAAAAGGCAAAGCCCTCACTGACTCACTGACTGACTGACTCACTCACTCATCACTAATTCTCTTACTTCCCATTTACCTAGGAGGCTGAAATTTGGTACACTGATTCTTTAGGCATTAAATAGGAAAACTAAGCTGTTTTTATTCTGATCGGACTCTCGGGCTCTGCCCCAGTGGCTCTGGAGTTTCCCATGTTAACCTTATGAGTTCTCATATTTAAATGGAATTAATGAATCTTAACAGCTGTTTCAATTAAACAAGTTGGTTCTGTTCTATGATGTTCAATAGCATTAATATTAAAGTTACAAGGATTACCGACAGGGTGCAGCACTATTATTTCTTTTACATTTATGACAACAGTTATTTTGCAACCAAAAGGTGAGTGAGAGTGAGTGTAGCTAACGAACTTCAACCTGGAGGCGAGTTAGCGTAGCGAACGAGCTAACCTGAAGGCAAGTGAGCGCAGCGAACGAGCTCTAACCTAAAAGTGAGTGAGCGTAGCGAACGAACTTCAACCAGGACGGGATTGAGCCATGCGAACGAGCTCACTTATGAAGTTAAGTGTTAGCATATTCAATAGTAAACTACAATAACAATTCAATACCAAAGCAATCGTAGAACATCTATTCATAATCTAAATGTACAGTTAACTATTTTTCCTATTTGAAAATAATTTCAACAAAGTATTAAAAGAAGAATGATTTTATGGCCCACATTTTACATCAATTTTTAAAAGCTACATTTGCAAGAGTTTGAATTTTAAAAATACTATTTTTGTGTTGTGAAAATAAAAAAAGAATCAGTTTTCCAACTCACCCGAAGTTCTTCATCAGAATCAATCCCGTTTTGTTTTGAAGGCCGTTCATCTTCACTCTCGCTGGAAGAATCTTCGGAATCAGAGTCATAGATGCCCAGCCCTGTACAAAACAATGGTGTTTAGACATTGCCTAATAAAGTGAGATATATAAAAAAGATTAACTGAAAAAAACACTTAACATTTCTATTGTTCACAAACTGCTTGTATACCAGTTTTAAAAACATTCATCCACAAATAAATATTTTATTATGTTATTCATTGTGACCCTTGGTTGGAATATATAATTGATAAAATGGAAGAATTACCTTATCCAACCACAGTTGCTAGTATGACAACTAGTTTTGTTCCTTAGAACATCGCCAGGTCATTGTACATTGATGATGTGGTTGCATACAATGACCTGACGATGTTCTAAGGAACGAAACTAGTTGTCATACTAGCAACTGTGGTTGGATAAGGTAATTCTTCCATTTTATCAAATAAATATTGATGTTTTAGAATAAGTTACTAGATTAAGATACAGTAGACTCCCTCTTATCTGGACTCGAGGCCAGTCCGGATAACGGGTTTTCCGGTTAAACCGACATCCCCAAAAACTTGTTAAAACGGACCGTTAGAATGCATACTGTATACTGTAACCAGTATAGTTTTTTTTTTTACTTAAATTTAGGAGAGCATTGTATTTAGACACGTGATCACTCGTCACAATTCTTTCCCACGAGAACAGTCGTTCCAGTAATGCCCACTTCCTGTCGATCCAGTTAATCCCATGTGCTGATAAAAATTGTTTGGTTTAAGAGATGTCATTTCCAACAAGTGTAGTCCGGTTAAATTGATGTCCAGTTAAACCGGTATCTGGATAAGAGGGTGTCTACTATACTACAGTAGTTGTATGTTATTACTATAATATAAAACATAAGAATAATAGTGGGATATCAAAACAGTACAAAAATATAGAATTAAATTAAAAATTACAGTTTTAAAATCATTCCAATTTATTACAGAACCAGTATTAAACAAACTTATATAATCGGTAGGATGCTTATTAAAATCTACTTTTGGGCTTTAGAAAGGTCAACATATAAGAAATTGCACAATGTTTTAGCTTGAATAGAGATGTAAAAAAAAACTCATTTTATCATTTATAACTTGGCAAGTTAATTTAAAGGTTAGTACTTCGTTTGATTATAAACATCATTCTCACTTGTAAATTAATAAAAAGAAAAAAACTAATAAAAAGAAAAAAAATTAGAAAGCCATTCCATGAATTTAGTTATGTTAAGCAAAGTTATTTTTAAAGTGGGAAGTTTGAAGAAAAATTCCTGGGAACATGATCTAAAGATCTGACAAAACATTGACCATTTCACTAAATTTTAGATTCATTTAGGTATTAGTTTTAGAAAACTTTCTACGTAAAACTGTGAAGATCTTGGTCCAACAAATGAAATAATAAGTCTTATATTAAATCAGTTTGTAACAACACATTTTACAAGCCACTTTAAGGTGTTAAAAGCGTGATTTCGATTCAATTATCATTGTTGGTGTGATAAAGTCCTACATAATTCAATCACTACAACACAAAGACATAATAACTTACCTAGTTTTCCAGTAAGGGAAGTTAAAGCTGGGGTCTGACGTAACCGTGAGGCTGGAGCTTTCATAAAAAGAGTTTTAGTTAGATTGGAGTGACCAAGGCCCTCCGTACAACTTACATAAGACAAACATTCAACTGACAACGGGGTTGTCCGCCAACCTAACCTAACAGACATCACAATGTACGGCTCTGAAACCAACTGTATTAGTTACAAGCACTTCAGCACTTCCATTGGCTATCATTAGCTACAATCTGGGATTGCTGACTGCTTCTCAGTTCACTGCAGACAAAGTATTGGGATCAAATACATTTGTTTAAGCCTGAAAACCTTAAACAATCTTTAGATGAAAACTAGATAAAAATGTGACATTTGATAAAAAAGTTCAAATAAATCTTTGAATAACCCACAATCCCTTCAAAAACCTATAGATAATCATCCAATCTGTAAATTGTTAGTTGGCATTATTAATTTCCCAATCATCTCTTGAAAGAAGGTTACTGCAGCATTTACTCCATTTATAAATTGACATGGTAATGATCATAGCTGAACTTTAGTCGACACACTTCTCAATTAATGCGACTGAGTTTTCGTACAACCAGATGTTTAAGGAAAAAATATAACTGATTTGTGTTTCATATAAATTTTATAAAAACTATCAAATAACTATACAAGTTTAATTATATCATTTTACAATCCTAAAAATATTTAATCACAGATCACTTGTACAACTTAAAATGTTTTTTGGCGTAATCAAGGTTTGTTATTGTTCGTTTGAAGCACCTCTGCTAGACTTTAACTTTGGTCAGTTGAATAAAAGGTAAAATGTCTCTTTGTGGACATTGAGAACCAGGTAACTTTATACCAAAGGTACCTTTAGCACGGAAATCAGCTAAAACTTCATCTGCGATCTTCCTCATCTCCTCATTGGTGACGGTCATGAGAATGTCAGTCAGGACATATCTCACTTTCTGCATCTGGAAATTGAAAAATGTAGGGGTAAAAATCTATATCAACTAAATAATATCCAGTCAAATAAATGCCAGGAGGTACTTTTCTATTACTTCAATGATATTATGCAATAGTAAAAAAAAAGATTGATGCACGTTTGAAGATAGGAATGCAAGTAATAGTGATACGGATTCCTAATGAGGCTTAAATTACTATCCTTCAATCTGTATATCATAAGTAATCCATTTGTTCTAAGCCGTTCGGCCGAGTAATTTAAGGAACCCCATCAAATCAGTTTAATGCTTTATTTTAAGAAGAATCCATTACCTTTAACTTAAATTCAAGTGTTCCAAGGTTTAAGTTGGGGCTAATTCCACTTATACGGTCCCAAAGTGTTATTTGAGGTAATCGACATTAGGTTTTATGCCTGCATAAATAATTTTAGCCAGCATTTTTTATCACAATGCCGTCATCATTGACTACAAAGTAGTAACTTTTTCAGTGGCACTGGAAGTTAAAAACTTGCATTAAAAATACTGAGAAATAACTAAAAATTACTAGAGTATAGCAGTTTTAAACATTGTAATGTGAAAAAGCCAGTTAAATTGTCACGGGATCCATGTTAGATTATGAACTCTACAAACTGATAATCGCATTCCTAAACCTCGGACAATTAATAAACCAATTACGTTACATACCAATTACATACTCGGACAATTAATTCCGGATTATACACCACGTTGTCAGTTTATGGTACCATTAATTTTTAACGACATAGATAAAATAACAAGATTGTTGATACTGAGTATTTCTAACCTGGGATAATTTACTAAACACACAAAAAAATACAATTCTTAAATTGTTGACTTAAAGGAACAGCTTTTTAAGATAAAATGAGTAAAATGATTGGTTCCACAACTTACAACTTCTTGCGTAATCTCCTCTTTGGATTTACGTTTGACGGGAGGTGGAGAGTACGAGGCTGTTGCTGTTGGTTTCACATGTTCAGGGCTTGACGCTGGGTCAAATCTTGATCTTCTAGGTTTCACAGCTGACTCTGGCTCCTCCTCCTTTTCAGACTCTTCTGAATCAGTGTCCTATAATCGAACAATCGAACGCATCAATACAAATACAACAGAGCAAAAAATTAAAATAAAATACTCATTGTTAATGAAGCTTAAATTATGTCAAAGAACAGTTACAATTTACAGTTTAAATGGATAACTGAAAAATATTAAAAGTAAGCTATAAGAAATATTTGTAAACAGGTTTGGTACTGGTGCATGTATGCATGAACAAGACTACAGAATGAGTTAAGCTGACAAATTACAACCCTCAATACATATGTGCTTGGTCAAAAATATTTGTGATAAAAGCGTAAAGCATAGATTTCATGATTAGAAAACATTAAATCAAATTATATTTAAAGCAAATAAAACCGCCAAATTCTGAATTTCAAAGTAGAGACATTTGACAGAAAACACTGTTTTACAATGGATAGATGAATGCATTAATAATATAATTACATGTATTATTTTAAAAGATAAATTAAAACCCAGCTCCTTGATGGTGTACTATCAATAAAGACCATAACTTAATTTGGTACACAACTCAACATACAGCCATGGAAAATAAGACCTGAGGTTAGCACGATAAAATAAATTGTTAACATTAATTGCAGCCAACTGTCTGTTTACTCTACGCTGATAATTGCTTTGCTATGTCATCAAAAAGTCATTGAACTAACAAATTTGCTCTTCAGAGGTATGCCAGACGCTAGTGCTTCCTCTTCCTCTTGTTTGCGACGCAACAATACTTCTTCCCTCTCCTTGATCTGCCTTTCTCGTTCCAATTTCTTCTGTTTTTCCCTTTCCATCTTTTCCAATCCTTCTCTGATCCATGCAGGTAATTGTTTACGTTTGGCAGCATCTATGAAAAGAATACTTCTTTGTACAAATATTTTGCATGGTGCAAAATAAATATTTTAAAGAAAGAACATTAAGCTGGGTTTTCCTAGGGGAGGAAGCAGAATGAAGAGTGCGGAATCTGCTCTCCTCTTGTCTTAGGTAATTTAATGGTACTGTTTTCCTAGAAGCATTTACATGCATACAACACAAGGTGCAAAGACAATTTTCAATACCGAATACATAACTTAACAATCTATGAAAAGGGCCCTAGTTACATGGGTATGAAGTTCTTTAATAATCTACCGACAAACATTAAAAGCCAAATCCGTTTAAAGAGTTTTAAGAATACTCTAAAAAGTTATCTTTTAAACCAAGTATTTTACTCTGTAAGTGACTTTTTACAAAATTAAGCAGCATTGTTATATGTAATTGTTGTTTTAGAGTCAGACAAAAATGTTCTGTAACTTAATTGTATTTTTAGGTTTATATTGAATTGACAATGTCACCAGTTTAATAGCTTTGCTATGTACAAATGTTTTTATGTGACAATAAAGTGAATTTGAATTTGAATTTGAATTTGAATTAGAAGCAGACCAGAACATTACCAACAAGCAGAAAATCGCTTCTCCGCATTCTGTTTTCGCCCCAAGAAAACCCAGCTTCTGGGAGTTTACCCTTAGAATAAACCCTCTCTCAAGGAGCATTTAAAAAATGTTTATTTTTTTAGATAGCATTACGGTATATAAATTAGAGCATACAGATTATAAAGCTTACCAAATAACGCTGTAGTGTCTGGCTCCACCACTTCCTCTACTTTCCCTGAATGCCTCCGACTACTAGGGGCTCTCTCAGGCCTCCAATCAGACGAAGGCTTATTCCGTACAAACGGGGCCGTACCCTCAGACCAGTACCCCGGCGGGCCCTGCTGATCAAAGACTCGTTAAAACATGTTTACATATTTCAATGATGATTTAACATCCTATCTTCCCAAATAATTAATATTTATTTTTACTTTACCAAAAAGGGAAGAATTTCAGCATTGACTTGTGGATACTGAAGTTGACATTCAATCTTAATAGACCAACTGTAGCCTTTTTGTTTAAAAAAGAACATATGTGTGAGTGAGCCACTCAGGGAGTGCACTACTTTCAACATGTTATGTTCCTTTAGTTTTTGGTAGGCACTATGACATTTTATGTGACATAAAAGATGATATAAATTTACTATAAGATATCCATACAATTTGTTACGACGTTAATTCATAACCTCTCACTGGAGGCTCGAGTCACAAAAACTATCTTGACCTAGGAGTAGTTAACCTCCTCCCCTGCCCTTCCTACAAGTTGTGTTGTTTCTTTACTGTAGCAATAATTCTAGATTATGTAACAAAAATAGCAGCTGTTTCAAAAACATACAGTAGAGTCACATCCTGTAGAGATAAGCATAAGGTTCCCATCGCCGAGAGTGGTTGCAGAAATGCCGAGATCAGAAAGCAGCGGTTAAAACAAACAGTGATATTTTGCGATCGAGGCGGATAATCCGGTTATTGGTTAATGCGACGTCGGTTAAGTTGGGGTCTACTGCATCAGGAAAAATGTGAATTTAACAAAACAACTATAGCCTAAATCAAAATGTAAACAATTTCAAACCTTCACACACTTTATTAGATCCTTATTATGTAGATTTTTTCCATAAGTCATGCTAGATTACCTGACTTTTAGAAAGTTGTAGGTTACTAAGAAAATTTCACTGTATAATAGCTGTGATGGACATCAGTGCGTTTGTCAGTGGTTCAACTCAACTAGGCCTATTTAAAGTTTAAAATTGCCACTACTGCTGTTACCGTATGTGATGTTTTAACAAACATAACCTGAATATCAACTTGTCTAATCTCACCTGGTCAAAGTTGTCCGGCATGGAAGCTCCGTGATTATAGTCAAAAGTGGCAGGAGGTGGGACTGCGGCTGGCGCATTGTATGAGTCTGGTGGGCCATTCCATCCCCAACCCCACTGCTGCCAGTTGTTCCAGTTTCCAGTTCCCCAGTTTCCATCTGGAGGTCCTGAGGAAATTTCAATCTCTTTAACAGTGTATTATAGCAACAGGAAAACTATGAGATGGGCAAAAAGCTTTTGTTTGTGATTTAAAATAATTAAAATAATATTGATCAAACTGAAAAATTTAAAATTATAAAAATCAATTATGTTGAGGTGCAGGCCTAAGCTTAGGCCTACTACTTAACTCAGCTAATTTAGTAACTTTAGCTTAATACTGGGCCAAACATGGCGAGGAATTAATTTGTGATATTTTTAAGGCCAATTTGAAATATAAGACTAGGCCCCATACTTGGATAAGGGTAACACATAAAAAAAGCGAAATAGCTATTGAAGTCTATTTAAGTACCTGTAATAATGAAGAAAGGTTAATGGTAAATTAGTAGGTAGCGCTCCAAAAAAATAAAAACTTTGTAAACATCAGATTGGGAGATTTGATTTGCATGCTGACCTGTTGGGGGTGTTTATTTTAAGGTTTGAACTGACTAGCCTACTTTATTTGATTAATAGGCCAGCTAACTTTATAACCACAAAAACTATTTAGGATGAAGGTTAAAATTACAAAGCCATGACTTTAAAGTCCAAGTAGGCCTAGCCGGTTTTAGGTAAACATGCCAGAATGCATTGCATACCTTGAGATGCTGCAGATGGCGGGGCTGGAGCGGGGGGGACATCGTCCTTGGCTACGTCCATTGGCGCCTCCCCCGCCTCTATGTCAGCCTGTATAGAAGGTGGTGGGGGTGCAGGGGGCACCGGTGGTGTTAGCTGCGGATAATGCTCCTTCATCTGTATCCATTGTTGAGCTAGTGAAGCCCAATCCACTGAAAATAATAACAGGACTTTAGGCAAAAGTATATAGTAGGTACCTATTAAATATTTGGTTTGGAAAATCCACTTTCTATAAATTACAGGGTAAGGACAAGGTTACAACTAAGTAAATAGTAAAATTAGTGAAATTAGGCCTGTTTTCACAATTTCACAAGTACATCTGACTTGTAGCTAAGTGAAAGCTCAATATTTGATTTGGCCTAAGACATTTTATTGAAACCAGGGTTCATGTAGGCCTAATACACATCAGACGGCATTTTTTGAAATAAAAGAATGTCAAACTCATTCAAAGAAAACAACCAAAACCTTGGAAATGATTGTCAATAACTGAAGATGGAAACTGTGTCCTAGACGCACCAACGTCCAAGACGCTAACCACTGGGCTAGCAAAAAACTTCTGGGAGGAATTATGACTAGAGGCTACTGCTAACCTATCATCGGCCAGTTATTTCCAAGCAAGTACATGAGATATCATACATACCTTGTTCATTTGGTAAGTTTTGATAAGTCGATGGGTTGAGAGCCCATTGTGTGGAAAAACCACTCTGTACGTCTCCCGTCCACATTGTGTCTGTCCTGATAACAATTTAAAATTAGGCCTAATTATTAAGCTACAGGAGAGCCTAAGATTATTACATGTAAATTCCAAGCATCCATTCATATAAAAAAAAATAATAATCTTAGTCTGCTACATTAAACAAAATTAAAACTAGGTAGGCCTAACTCATATTTTTCATGACTTGTAATTTTGAAACTTTACTAGCGACGATGTAATTCCGTGACATGGATTTATGAAGAAGGAGTGATGGTGGGGAAAATGGGAGTCATTGCTGATGTGTTGTCAGTGACAGTTAAAACAGATACCATGCCCTGTAAGTTCCACAGAAAACTTGCGATATATTATTATATGATATGATTAAGTAGCCTATCAAAATAAGCTATAGTAGGCAGATAGCCTATAGATTATAATTCGGATCGATATTAATATTGCATCAAATTTAATTTTTCCATATGATCACGGAGAAGTAAGATATAGGCTACAGAGGAAACGGGCTTACGGAACAACTGTGTGCTTTTAGCTCGAGAATGGGTGGGTGGAATTATACTTAGCTAAAAGCTAGGAAGAGCCCTCTGAACGGCTATTGTTTAAAACAGCAGTTGTACCACACAGGCTTTTCCTACAGCGTGAGTGCCTTATTATCTAAGATTTTTTGTACTAAAACTATTTGACAAAGCCTATTGTACGCTAATGTATTCCTGTACATTGTATTTAATGGCCAATAAACTTCTTGATTCTTGATTCTTGATTCTTATGTGATGGTCAGGGGGATGAGGAGGGGGGAGAGGAGAGCGGAAGGGGTACCGGTACCATTGAATGTTTCCTCTGTATCTTAATTCTCTCTGATATGATACAAATAAAAACAATCACAAAAGCATTAGTTAAAGTTGTTTCTTTCGTATTCATGTAGTTTTATCCTAAATTTGTTGTTTTGAAGGTTGTTTTTTGTAGTTTTATCCAAAACTAAAAATGGAAGAAACTAGGACTAGGTTAACTTAAGTCATAAGTTAGCTTAGACAAACTTACATTTTCAAATCCTATGCAGAAATGATATCATAAAGTTAATTTGGTTAATTTGTTTTTTAACGTTCATAGATATTGCTAGCTTATTTTTTGTTTAAAGGCCTATTTAACATACCAGTAATAAAATGTAGGCCTAACTTGAATAGACCACTCAATTCGATGTTAAAAATTATTAACATACGGTAGGCCTAGCCTTAACACCAATGAAAACGAGAACAAATCGTAACACATTTCATAATTAGGGTCTATTGGGAAATTTTTCAAAACATGATAACTTAGGTCTAAGTTATGTCAATATTGAACCAAATTATAATTGGTAGGCCTAGCCTAACTTATGTTGATGTTTAATCTAATAATATATCCCAGTTGTGGAACCACCCGAATAAACTAATTTAGTGTCCATTTACTGGTTTTGTTCATGCTTGAAACTTATCTTTCCAAAAATGGCTCAATTAAGTTAACTTAGCAAGCCATTGATGGTTAACTTGTTCTTAATCTTGACAACACCTTATAACTTAAAGTAGGTAATCCGCAGAGAAATTTTGATTTTTGAGGTCAACCATAGCCTGATCATGTCTGATGCACCCTTGTCTGAGATGTGCCGAAATAACACAGGCAAGATTTAGGCTAACTTAACTTAGTGGGGATTTAGGTAGCGTAAGTTAAGGTCCGATCTCAAAAAGCTTCGGCTGCACTTTACTTTAGGTCCTGGACACTCAATCGAATAAAAATCCTAACTAACCAAACGATATATTGAATGAAACAATCGAATAATCAATATTTTCATTCAAATGAGTGTAGGACCTAACTTCAGGCCGCGGCCTGGTAGACATTGACGACCTGTCCTGCACCAATCCAACTGAGCAATCAGTTGATTTAATTTAAAGTGCAGCCAAAGCTTCGCTCGCTCTCTTAAATTTATTACAGTAGGAGGCCTAACTAGGCCCTAACACTTAAACTAGGAATTTCAGTCATCTCAACCACGGACTAAGTTACCTAAGGTGTAGCTTAAGTTAGACCTAGTTGATATACAGAGGCTAGGCCTACTAGCCTATAATACATTGCCCTCTTAGGCCCCCCTATCTCATTCTGAAACTATACGACTTGAAATCAGGCCCGTTTTGAACACTGATTTTTTAGTCGAGATCTTTGCATGGGCTACAATTAAGTGACAAAAAGTTTAAGGGAGATGTTAATAGAAAATGTTAGGCCTAGCCTAATTCCAGATTTCATAGTAACCTGGGCCCTTCCCTTGGTCGCGGAAGATGTTGGCTTTATTATCTGGAACAAGAAACTTACCTTTTTCGGAAATCCTAAAACATTTAAACCAAACTATCCTTGAAACTAAAATAAGACACCAACATTGTAAATTGATTCTCTAAAAAACGCGAATTTACCACCCACAACAACCCAAATATCCACCATTCTCGGCACGGGCACAATTTAGTTTTTTTTACTTCTTCTTCTTGATCTTCTCTTCTTGCTGTAACATTCTTATTCTTTTCTGCTGGAAAAATCAATGCTGCCAACGATCTAAGTGAACAAAAACTACTTTGCCTTCTCGTTAACGCGTGGTTACTATGTTAAATGTCCACTGATTATCCCGCTGAATGGCTGTAAGTGAAATATTTATTTATACAAGGAGCACTGAAAAGCCACATGACAGAGGGAACAAATACAACGTCGTTGTCCATCCCGGCCCTGAAGAGTTGGCAGTCGGGTGAGAGTAGTCCAGCGGCGACGTGCTGTTCCATGGCCATAGCCTTTTCTAATACAGGACGTTATGGTTGTACTTGTCCCATGGTGGTCTGCGCTGCGCAAATGGTATTGAGCGTTGCTAGTGCAGCCTGGCCCGGGGGAAGGCATGGCCCTCCCTCCATCGGTCCTCCAGTATGCGGTCCCGGAGCTGGTAGTGGGATAATCAGTGGCTATTTTGCATAATTGACCAACGCATTAATGCCTGCGCACGGCAACCTTTAACTCCTGGTCGCGGCCTGGTAGACATTGACGACCTGTCCTGCACCAACTGAGTAATCAGTTGAATTAATCAAGGCAGTCAGGGTTGCTGTTGTTGACTAAAACTATGGTAAAGAGGTCCTGCCGCGGTGTGAATAGAGTTGGATCCTGTGATAGTTCGAGGATGAGTGGGTTTGTGGAATACTGGGATCCAACGAATAATAGAAGGGCTGGTTGAGCGTTGGTGTCTTTCAGAATGAGTAGGGACAGAGGTTGAGATATTGTTGTACCGAACATGTAACGTGTGGTAGCTGGTGGGAGTACCCGGAGGACGGAGGGGCTCACCTTTATAGGTGAGACGTAAGACGGTAGAGATATAGTACCGGTAACTACAGAGATTGACTGCATGACTGATGTAGTCAATAAAATAATCTATTCAATGGCCACACTAAAAACATCACCCAACATATCTATTTCACCACACTCCCCCAAATTGTGTACCTATAGCATTTTTTATTTTCAATACTTTGAGTTTTATGACTCGAACGTTGGAAATGAACAGAACCGGACAAGTACAAGACACACTGGCAGACTATGCTACTGTAAAGATACAAAGCAGACGAGTTGACTTTACTGTACTCACCGAGTTCATAACGTCGAATATCGTTCCGTCTTCCGTCTCCGTGCCTTCTCAATCAGCTAGTCAGCCTATTGGACTTTGATCGAATGACTCATCGTTGGTCGATTCCGTCACCAGGCCCGATAAGTTAAACTTTAAACTATTGGTGAGAGATGAGATCAACTTGCCTCTATATAATATAACAAACTAAAACTCTTCTTGATTATATAAAACGTCATCCACACATGGCGGTTTGTCTGCGGAAACATTGTCTGCCGACTGTCTCTGGAGTGTTGCTATTTGTCTCCAGCGATGTCTCCAGTAAGTCGGCCGACTGTCTGCAGACTGTCCAGTCCACCGACTGTTGACAGACAAAGTTTGGTGTATCTGGAGTTTTCTGTTATACAGTGTTTTCTGTTTCCCGTTCGAATGGGGGAGACAAGAGACAAAAGTTTTGTCTCAAGTCTGCATGTGTGGACGTGTCTGGAGACAGAAGACTGGATACAAGCCGAAGGTGTTCAACATTCAGGCCAGTTAGTTGGACTTCAAAGCGGTAATGTGACGATTTTTGGGCGGTTTTAAAAGAGCTGGATTGAGTTTGTTGAAAGTTTTGGAATTAGTTTTCAATAATTCATATTATTATATGACATTTTATTGAATTGTTCATCTCTTCAAGTTTGAAATTTTAGGTCCAACAAAGCCCAGCAAAAGTTCAAAATCTTTAGAAGTAAATCTAGTGAAGTTCCTAAATCCTTTAAGTGCTGATAGAAGATTGTGACCATAGTAACCTTAGAAAATGTTGTCCAATGGGTCTGTTATTGTCTTTCATAGGTTCTTAGCCCCATGGTTCTGAATCTGTTCAAGAAGCACCTGACAACATGGCTTATGGACCGGCCGTTCTACTCAGAGGATGAATTCCTAAACAATAAGCTACTATAAAAATAAAAAATAAAATGCTAATTGTAATTGCAAATTACTGTAATAGTTGTACCTGACGCATATGAATGTTCTCTAGGAATATTTCAATAAAAAGTTTGTCTATTGTATATTGTCTATTCCCGGTAGCCCCCCCCCACTTTGACAAGGTCCTAAAACCGCCACCGAACATACGAAGGAAAGTGTAGTAACCTCCGGACCTCGGTTCTTAGCTAGTACTGAGAAATCCTGTGTGACATAAACTTGTTTAAAATTAATGCTAACTTTGGTAGAAAATGAGGAGTGGAGTTAAATATTTTGAGACTTATATTTTTGCACATCTATTATCTATTCTATCACAAACGGTTAAAAAACTAGGTTTATTAATAATTCATACATACAGAGTGTACATGAACTCTGTACCGACCTTTTAAGTTATTTAGAAAGTTTGTGTACACCCTTTTTAGCTGTAAAAATGAAATATTCACATAGGGCATAGGGGTTAAAGTATATTTTTAAATTAAATTGCTTACAGAACATTTAGCCTATAAATATATATTTATTATGCAATAATACAATGTTTGTAAATGTTTCAGACATATATATATCACTAACTGAATGTTCCTAATGTAAATTCGATGGATTTATCTTGGAATCGATGAATGTATTGATTGTAAATGTGACTGCTTGCCTGTTTGGCGTTGGAAGGGAAACATGGATCACCTTGAATCATTAACTTGAAGCTCTTCATTTCTGAAAAAATAATGTAGGTAGTTAAGTCAACAAATCATATTGAAACTTTCCAAAATTTCAACCTGATGCTACAGTGTAGATTTTAAAATTTAGAAACATTGCCATAACTGTGATTTAGATATACTTGAACATGTTTTAGATCAACTTATCACTGATGCACAATGTCTGAAATTATGTACAGTTTAAATTTTAACTACAAGTTTGAATTACAAGACTCAGATGCCATTTGTCATTGGACTATCAATTAATGATGCTATATCTAACTTAGACAGTAACAAAAACCAGATTTTTTGGACCTCCCTTGCAAAAACTGTTAAAAAATAGTCTATTGGGCGTAGACAAACAACAAAATATAAAGAGGTAACAATTATAATGAACTTTGTGCAGTCCTGCTATTGAACTAGAAAAGCTCATCCACTGACAGAAATCTTTTTTTCATTTAAAAATAAAAGTGAATCAGTGAGTCACAAATAAACAATGTCAATGCTTCTATGTCTTATGGCATTGGAATGGATGTTTAAAAGACTTACTGGAGGAGTTTAAAGCAGCATCACACATTTCGTTAACGGATTTCTTCTTCTGCAAGGGGCCATGATAAGCAAAACTGGACAGTCTGGTTCTCTTTAATAACTCGACAAGAGACGAGTCTATTCTTCCGGTAGAATGCCACAGAGTAAGGTTTACATGTTCTAAAAAAGGCAATTGAATGAGAAAGACATTACTGAATTCCGCAGTAGCCTACTGTGATAACATTTAAATGATGTGAAGCTATAAAATTCCAAACAGCCTTTAAAACCTAGTGTTAATAAAATCTTGGGTGTGTTAATACTGTAGCTTGGTAGTTTGTAGTGTCTCGGACTTTGCAAGAGAGGACTCAATTCCTGTCATGTCTACAAAGTTGTCAGAGGTTTGGACTGATTTCCCATAAAAAGTCCTTTCATAAAAAAATCATGTGGACCGATATGAACATTAAATAAGGAAAAATTAAATACCATACCTAATGTCTCTGCATGGTCCAGCCACAAACATTTCAGGGTGCAAAAGATGGTGAGCTCAGGAACTGCTGATGTAGGGCAAAATCCGTTTTCCATACAAAAGCTGCTCAGTGGCATGGACCGGGTAACAAAACGTTTTGTAACATCATAAGCACTCATCGACACTGAAAAGTCGGTGTGTTTTTATCAGTTACTAAAGCAAATCATAACAAAAGAATAACACTTTTAGGCAGTGCTCGATTTGTCAAAGACGAGGTGCCAGAACTGTAACCTATTTAATGTGATTTGTACCTATTCATGCTAACATTTCAATTCATTGGAAAGAGGTGGTACCGGAACATCCCTTTTGCCGTGTTCCTCCAAAAATCGAGCACTGCTTTTAAGTATAGTAAACATGACATATTTAACTATCAAAATGGTTTCAAATCTAAGCCCAAAAACACCAGCTCAGTATTTGCTTTTTTCCTACTACTACTTCATCAACATGTTTTTATGTCAGTTAAGATTCATTGAATGCAGAAAGTGCTACAATGTATTTCTATGTATGTGTATTTCCAGAATGTTTCATTTGTGTAAAACACTCAATGAATGCATACAATGTTATATTAGATTTGAACTACTACAATACAACAGGGTGAGTATTTTAAGGTAAATATTACTGAAGGGTGGGTGTTGAATGGATCAGATTATAGCTTAATTTTTGTCTAAGATCAGCTAGTCCTTAGCCAGGACTATTTCAGAAAACACAATGCGGACATTCAAATCTGCAAACCTTTCTCTATGACACAACAGATTTTAAAATTTAAGCCATACAAAACTACATTACCACAGACGATGTGGACCTCCAAATCTGGGCACTTTTCTCTAACATAGTGCCACACCAAATCTGGAATAGCTTGAAGGGCTTCGGCCTCATACAGCTGATGAGTCGGAGAAGGGATGTCTTCTGGTTCGCACAGCAGCTTAAGATGTTTCAACCTTCCCTTTGCTATGCTCCCCACAGACAACAAGGCATCCCCCGTTCCATCGGCTAGCAAACTGTAGTTGATGGCGAGTTGGGTCAGATGAGTGAGGTTGTTCAGTGAAATCATGTACATGTCCCGCAAAACGTCAACATCTATTTCGGTGTTTTCATAAAACTTTAAATAGCTTTTGCAAAATCCAAGTAGAGGAGTTTTCCCTGCGTTAAGATGAGATTCGTTTGTGGTTGAATGGTGCGCAGAAGTTGCGTCTAATGAGACGGTTTCTTTTGAGTCTGAAAACAAAGGTAGAGTTATTGAGCTTGTTAATGTAGTTAGTAATTTTTTCAGACTCCCAAATGAATTTGAAGTATTAGAATTGAAAAACAAAAACTACACTTTAATGTTAGGTGCAATTTTGAGTTTTGCTTTCAAAACAATGCTGAGTGTATAACTGCACAAAGAAGCTAGATACACAGGCCCACTTTTATAAACGGGCAGACTGGGCATATGCCCGGGGGCACTGGAGGTTTGGGGGCGCCTACCAAGTGCCCCACAACCACCACCTGCCCGCACTAGGAAAAATGGGGGCACTGCTTTTTGGTTTGCCCAGGGCTCCTCTGACCCTTAACGAGGCCCTGAAGATACAGAGAATACATGTTTATTGGACAACCACAGGCTTTCATCTATGGTATGTTGGAGCGGAAAAATACTTGTGACGAGCGAGTAGGAGCCCGAACTGTGCGGAAATTCCTATCGCACGCTGCACAGGGTCTTCTTCCACCCTGAGGGTTGAAATACATGTTGACAAGGGGGGTGAAGGGGATTATTTGTCCTAGACACCAGCACTGGCACTAAGACACCACTTAAGTGTACCATGAGTGTTTCCTCTGTATCTTATTTATCTCTGGTAGGTAACTGTTAGCAAGTCAGATTTAACATAATTGAACCATAATTCTTTTTTATCCTGTTGCAAAGTATGGGTAAAGCAACTAATGTGTCTACATTATCAGAGTATAAAAACCTTTTAATCCAGTAGTTTTTAAGCACAAAATGTAGGAAATAAATAGTTCCCTACTTACTTAGTGACATCTGACATTGCACCCCTGCATCAGCTTGGGAGAAAACGTGATCTTCATACACACTAGAAACTGAGTGGACCAATTCTTTTTCCATCAGATCAAAAGGTATTTCACCAGATGTTTGAGTGAGGATTCGTTTGAGCAAGTGTTCCACGATATAATGCTGAGTTGAAAACTTAACCATGTTAAATTTAGTAGACTGACTGTGGTAGCTTTCTTGCTGTGAAGTGCTCTGTTGTGCAAAGCTTATGGATTGATTTAATTTTAAACTATTGTTTACACTTTTATTTTCATTAACGTTTTGCTTTAAAATGTTATCTGAATAAAGTCCGGTAGTCTGACTGTGGTAGCTTTCTTGCTGTGAAGTGCTCTGTTGTGCAAAGCTTATGGATTGATTTAATTTTAAACTATTGTTTACACTTTTATTTTCATTAACGTTTTGCTTTAAAATGTTATCTGAATATAGTCCGGTAGTCTGACTGTTGTAACTTTCTGTTTGTGAAAATGTATTCTGATCTGCGTAGCTTACAGAGCGGTTTAATGTTGATTTATTTTTCATACCCTCTTTTTGATGTTGAGTAAAAAGGTTGTTTGAATCGACTCTAGAATGTGTCCGTACCATAAAGTCATGTGAATCAACATTGGGTGACTGCTGAACTCTAAGATTATAGGAGGATTCTCCAGATTTATTTGTATAACTTGGAACTTTCCTCAAGTCAGATTTCTTAGTTAGACTTTCATCGCTTATTACAACTTTTTTAGTTTCTTTTGAAATTTCTCTCTCTAGTTTGTGTACTTTTGCCTTTCCGAGTTCTCTCAGGTATTTTCTGCCTCCAGGGTTGTAAGTATATGGAACCCGTGGAAGGTCATCTAGGACTATATCACCTGGAAAAGGTATTTTCTGTGATTAAAGAAAATTGTTGAGGCTCCTACACTACCAAATTATAAACTTAAAGCCTGGTTTACAAGGGTAGGGTTGTGGGTAGAGTAGAATTTCTAGTAGAGTAAGTCTACCCGTGTAAACACCCACTAGCGCCTAGTAGCTAGTATAGTAGATAGTAGGTGGTAGAGTAAAGTTATTAGCAAAATGTGGCATACTTGTATAAATGTGATCCGTCGGCAGTAGAGTGACCCTGTCTTGTAACTGGTTTTGAACACTCATTTTGGGAATGGAGGAGGAGACACGTACAGTTCACAAACTATCATCAACACTCTACTATGTGTGAACAGTCGCTTGCTTAAAATTGGTAGAATGGACAAGAAAATAGCTCTACTATAAACTCTACACTACCCGTGTAAACTCCCAGGGGTGGTGAACAACTTAGGGATGGGGGTGCAAAGTAGCGAAAAACGTTAATCGGCAGACCGTTTTTAACTCCCTTGTTATTGAACGTAAGTAAAAGATTCATTTAAATTGACTTTTCATTTTAGTAATAGGGGCCTTGGTGATCTTTCTATAACTCATCTCATATCTCACTAGTCAAATATATTACTTGACTTATGCCAGCTTACTTTGTAGAGGTCCCTTGAAAGGTTTTTCGCAGGTGTTGAGGACATGCCATAGGTACAGAGACTTGACTCTGCAACTCCCTGCGATGGCCACCAGGAGGCAGCACAAGTCCTGGAACTTCAATTCTGCCTGCTCCAGCACGATGTTGTACAGTCCTCGCTGCAAACTGATCCCAGTGATTAATTCTGTACTACTATCAGATAAGCTGTCAAATAAAAATCGAGGGGTTAAGATGTTTGTGTGCCAAAACCAAAGGGTTGTGTTGATCTGGTTCAAAATAAAACACATGGATTTTCTTTTTACTTATTTTAGCAATTTCAAATTTGACATTATTTTAGAGTTATTACGTATGTAGAAAGAGAAAGAAGAACTGGATACTAAGTCTCAAATAGCACAGATATACAAACATTGTAAATTAAAACTGCTGACTATGCAGCTGAAGAGGCTATAACTTAGGTTATTGGATGATACTACTAGCAAGTATGTGGGCAGCTAAATTAAATTAAATATTGATTATCAATATTTCTTTCTTTGTTTACTCTTATTTGCTTACCTAAAGTACTTGCATAGTTCTTCAATTATTTTCTGCCTCGATTGTGGGTCCATATGCTTCATTTTCATGAGTTGGACCGGGAAAACAAAATTTCTCACTTGCATCTTTGATCGATTCAGTCTGGCTAAACCCTGAAGCTGCGCCTAAAATGAGAAGTTGAATTTTAAGCAAATTTATCAAAGGGTATGACAGAAAAGTGTATTTTAGAACTATTTAACTATAGTATTCTACAATACAGGCTTCAAATTCAGAGTGTTTTCTTGCCTCCCATCAATGTGGGGCCTAGTTTGCACGCGGGAGCGAGCTGATCTATGGTAGAGCGCAGGACTTCAGTCCCCGAGGTCTCAAATCCTGCAAATCTCTATGTCTTCCAGCCATGCAATGATTGCGTAACCCTCTTAATTAGTCCCCGGATGTAAAGGTGGGACGTAAAAAACTGGTTTACATTAGAAATAATCTACAAATATTTTTAGATAGGTAATCCGCTACTCACCTGTGTTATGAGTTTTGCCTCTTGTCTATTAGGTGCAGCGCTGGTCAGTAGCTGGTAGTAGTAGTTGCTCGAAGGATTGTCAAAGGATATATCCGGCTTCGACTGAGGGAGTCGTATAGTATTGCAGTGGGCTGAGATCTCCCAGTACTTCCGTGGCCCCTGTGGCAGCAACCCTTCTTGCTTGACATGTCTGACAACAAAACTATCAATGAATAACTAAGAATTCAAATTTATATCCAACAAATTACCTTACATATTACTAAAACTGTTTCAATATTATACTGACTAGCATTCTAAGTTTGAGTATAACAAAAATACGTTATTCAATCTAAAGTATTTCTTGGATCAGCTTCAGAAATGCCAAATTGTCATTCAGACATTAAGAGGCTAAGAACTTATTTTTCATTTGCTATAATTATCTTTACACTGGAATCTCTTCTCATCTAGGTTGAAGAATGAAGTATGGTTGCAGGAGAAATAGGTAGTTGTTGTGTATGCATCCTATTTGATGAATAACAGGTAGGCATGTACATATGACCGAAGGAAAAGAAAAATTGGTATTCAAACTCAAGGAATTATAGCCGCCACAGTGTTGTAGAGAATGAAGCTTTTGGGTTTGCCAATAAAATATGGTTTGCTTCAAAGAGAACTAAGATATAGAGGAAACATTGAATGGTGCGCTTAAGTGGTGTCTAGCACTAGTCCCTGGTGCCTAGTGCCACTCCTAACCCTTCTCATACTCCTTTCCCCCTTCACCATCATTGCTACGCTGGCGCTGGAGGAAGACTGTGCCCTGTGCGATAAGAACTTCCGTTCAGTGCCCACCGGCACCACTATAAGGGTTCTTCCTTCCTGGTAACAAGTATATTTCCCCTAACGCATGCAGAATATATTAGAGATGAAAGCGTAAGGTGACGCCATAAGCAGTGTCCTCTGTACCTAACTTCTCTGTATTTTCTGTATGAATACAAGAAGTGTGCGTTACTAGCCTAGTGGTCTATATACCAATTACCATTTCTATATATTGAACAAAAATAGCTTAAGTTTACCTGTCATCCTGGGTGGGCAAAGATTCACCTCTCAAAGTAACTGAACTTTCTAACTGTTTACTTTCGACTTTCATAATAGCATGGAATAATTTTAAATAAACTACAATTTGACACCGCTAAAACAAATATTTGAAAATGCAATTTACAATTCTAGTCAAAATATTTACATTGCAAGTGTAAAACATAACCATAAAGTAATGTTTACAACTTACAGATGACTTTGCTTTAAGAAGTACCTAAAAAAAAGAGTGAAAAAACTTTGTTAAACCTTAACAAATAAATAAATAATTCTTTTCTGCATTTTTGAAACTAATCTGTGAAAAATATATAATATGTTTTTGGTTGTGCATAAATCTTTGAACAACCAAATATGTTTATGATTCAATAGCATAATAGAAAAATAATCCCACACCACTTAATAATTCAATGCATTAATAATTTAATTGATCTATAATCATGTTGGTTTAATCTATGCTTCATATTTTTACAGGTTTCTCTTTGTCCTCTTTTCCTAGGGGTTTGTCAGATTATTTATCACTTTTTCAAGAAGTGTATTGACAAGATTTTTTTTTATTTCAAAGTATTTTACTGTGCGTTTATGCAATGAACGTAATTGTGGCACAGCATTTCCTGATTCACAGTCCTACCTGATATCTGATTGAAATCTTTATTTTTTTTAAGTTTTTGAAGTCTTACAAAAAGTTTTACGAAATGTTTTACATAATTGTAATGCTTTAAGGTTTATTGTAAAATTTTAGCTTTTCGAAGTGGCGGGGTAGGAATAGAGAACATACACCACACCAGTTGAATTTTTGGGCAGCATATATGCAAAAATGTAAGCGTTTGTAGGAACTACGGTAGGGCTATAGGGTTTATTATTGTATTAATTTATGTCCAAAAAATTAAAGTGTATGGTACATGTTAAAAATCAAAATAAACCAACCAAACAAGGTTTTTACACATGCGGCATCTACACAGCTGCCAACCACTCAACAGCATTGCCAAAGATAACAGCTGTGTACTGATAGCACCGAGGGACTTATTTCTCCGTTATGTTGGTAGCCCTGCAGACAGGCCAGCCTGAGTCGGTCAGTTCTCAGTAGCTGATTCGCTCGCTACAGGGTGTGTTCGTCAGTGTGCTCGGCGCGGGTGAATCGAATCAATAGTGGAACCCTTCTTGTGCGTATCTCATATCTCGTCGGAATTGAACAGTTTGTGAATCCTCAACATGTGACACATTCTGGATAATTTACCGTCTGGTAAGAAAAATGATGGCTGTAAAAAAATTATTATGTAAACGCTAATAATTTTAGGATATTAGGGAAAATAAATTTTAGGTAACATTTGTTGATATTTTTTTATGATATAACATGTTTTTATTATTAATAAATTTAATAAATTAATTTATTTTTATTCTACAGAAAATTTGGGTGTATAAAATGTCAACACGATTTATTGATTAGTCCCGGTGTATATCAGCAATATGTTTACATTTTACATCGTAGGGGGGTTGTATATTGCGACAATAGTAACGGGAATAATACTAAATTAATCTGTTAGTATTGTGTTGGTACTTACAAAATTTTGTGAAAAGAATGCTAAAATGTTTAAATGTGACATCTTTAAGCTAAAATACACTTTATTTTTTTGTGTTTACCTATAACGCCGGCAGATTAATCGAAGTCTTAATCATGGACGACGTTGCATTTTCCCTGTAAACATATTGATTGAAAAATAAAAATTGTAATATGATAGATTGTTTTGTGATTTAATTTACTAGGAAATTCCTCTAGAAACACAATTAGATTGGGGTTTTAGTAATCTCCTCCAAACACAGGTTCCTAGAATCATGTGAGGAAACAATGGATAAATAGGAGATTATTAATTTCAATTTAAAGCACCGTACATATAAATTTATATGTGAATAGGTTTATACCCTTTGTTGAGTTATAAGGCTTTAATATTTTACAGGGTAGGGCATCCCAAATTAATGCACCTTATGCTTTTTTTGTTCCACACAAAAAATGGGAGAAGCTAGTTGACTCAGTTTCTAATTGACTCACTTATATCACGTCTTGCAAAAGTTTAAAGATAAATATTAATTATTGTTGCCATATGAAATCGAATTGATATACAAGTTAATACATATTTTTGTTGACGCATATTCTACTTTCATTCACTGTCAATAAGTAATAATTCTATAATTAATACAAGTGGCAATATTATGTCTTTGCGTCAAAATTGAATTAGTATGACATTGGCTTTTTTATTCTCGTTAAACATTTTAGCATTTTAGTCTCCACAGATTTGAATATATGCAAAAAAGAGGTATGACAGACTTATATATGTTATCTATATATGTTAACTATTTAATGTATATTTAGACAATGAATATTGAAATGTTATGTTCTGCTCCACTGACAATGTCCATGCATGTAAATGTCCATTATAAACATGATTTGATTTGATCAAAATCGGTTTACCTAAATTAGTTATGACACTTTATGATCTTATAAATAAAAATTTAAGTTGATACACAGTTTTGTCTAATAAAATTAACATAAGTCCACCGACTTGCAATTTTTATAGGGTAAGTTCGAGAAATATATTAACACAACACGGCTAAGGTAAATAAACTCAACTATATTGTCGACAGCGGCTACGGCTCATGCTGTGTGTTGGCTTGAACGTTCACGCCAAAGTATTTATAATTCCATTCTGAAATTACGTATGGTGTTGGAAATGTTTATAAGCTTAGCATAGCAAGGCATAAAGTTGTGAGCCAAAACATTCGCTATAAATAAAATGTTTTGTAAATTTACTTAGTGAAAAAAACACATAATACACAAAGTTAAGATATATTCCTCATCATTTTAGTAAATATAATATTGTGAAATATGGTAGGGTGTGTTCTTTGTGACTGCGATTTCCAACCAATGAACTGCAAGTAATTCACTCAAAGCTGGTTTAAACCATCCAGAAACTTGACTAACGGGTTGATACAAGAATTTAGTTTACAAACGGTTACTAAACTTAGCGGTTTGTCAGTGCTTTGTAACGGAGTATCCTACAACTAGGAATAGATAGTAATACAGTATTTGGAAAACTAGTCGAAGTAGGCTATCCAACACCGATTAGACGTAACATTTCATGGTCATAGTTAATCTCCAGAGGAAAGTTTAACGTGTTTTGATAAATAAATGACTTAGTTATTTTGAATCAGTTGTGGTAATAAAATTCGTATCATTTAAGAAACTTTAGCTAAGTAAATGAACCTCACAGCGTTGATATCCTTGCCTTGAATTAAGAGCGTTCTCGAAATAGGAATTGCAAAAAGTAATCATGGTGGTTGCGCTATTTTGGAAGAGAGGTTAAGACAGTTGTATATCTATTATATTATTAAAGTGATACTGTACAATCAAATTTTATGTAAACGGTTAAGGTCATTTACCAAATAAAAATATAGGCATATGGCACATCAAAATGAAGCTTAGAGTGTGTAGATTTGCCGAAAAGTATTGATATGGACGAATTTACTAAGGGCTCTGCCCCACAGGCTGATTTCCAAAGGGCTACGCCTGGCATGCCTCCAATTTTTAAATGATTTAATTTAATTTAGTTAATGAAACAGCTGGTCAGTACAATGAACTATTGTTTGTTTATTTACTCGAAAAAGATGTTTGTGACGCTTAATATAGATTGAGGAGGGTTATGTTTGGTTTTAAAGTGATGGTTGTATACGTTTTGTAGAGTATTGCTCAAAGTTTCATTTTTTAAATTTATATAGTAAGCTACATGTGAAGAGGCTTGACTATTGAAGAATCATGGTAAAACATGTCATTCATGAATCATCAATATGAAGCCATTAATGCTATTGCTACACTAAGGTATGTTGTCATATTCTTATGGATCTATTAACATCAAAAGTAGGGATTTAAAAGTAAGTAGGTTTACGCTTTTAAATCGGTTTATATTTTCAACTAAGTCATAGAGTTGCTGTATTTTAAAATAGCACCACTTTAATAGCTCTCTAGGTCACATTTTCTTCCCGTTGCAAAGCACGGGTATAGCAGCTTGTTTATTTTAAACCAAAGTTTAGCTTAATATACACGCTCGTTGAGATGTCCTTAGCAAAAGACCTCAAAACGCATTTTGTTCGTCGATGAAAGATATTATAGGGCAAACATATCTTATACAAATAGAATAGTCTTTCATTTAACATATTTTAATACCCACGTGTACAGAACTCCTAATTTTGAGCGATAAAGCATCGTTTTATTTGATCAAAACGTGTTTACAGTGTGTTAACAAATTTGGCAAACGCCCGTTGGTATAACATCCTTTCGACTGTGGAAAGATAAGCTCTCCTTATTTTTGGAAACGTTCCAGATTTCAAAGCGCACGGTCACTTTAATTAACAGTACTGAGGGTAAATATACCAGTTACAACTGTTACTAGACGACATTCCTTGCCGAAACCTAAGCCTTTTACTATTTTTGTCTAGCTGTCTATTATCGTATGTTAGAAAGAAAACTCCAATATATTTCTTAAACACTTTTATTCTTTTCTCGTGTGTATTACAGGGGCAAATCTACGCATACTGTTAGAAAGATAGTTTCCTGTAGATGTGCAGAATCCATTTATAAATTAAAATTGGTTTAAAAATAACCACTAAAAATTGAATAAAAAAAATAACATGGGCCTTATTGGTTGCCATGCTGGGGACGAAATAACTACGAAATAAAAACCGAAATCAAAACAAAAGGAATTCCAATCACATGTTTTATTGGGGACGATGAAACTGCCCCGATATTTAAGGTAAGTTTTAAAGGATGAAACTGCCCCGCTCATTACAGAGCATCAAGAAGGGTCACCTCGCCATACCAGAAATGCTGAAATTGCCCCGAGCGCCCGACCAGGTAGCCGCTACGGGTCTGGGGAAAAGGGAATTGTTGTTGTCCCTGCGTTATGTCAGTGACTGCATTCTTCTAATAACTACCACCAATATCAGGAATTTCTAGCTTTTTAAGGTTAGGTTGGGTTATGTTAGGTTAGGCTGGGTTAGGTTAGGTTAGGTTGGGTTAGGTTAGGTTAGGTTAGGTTAGGTTGGGTTAGGTTAGGTTGGTTTAGGTTAGGTTAGGTTGGGTTGGGTTGGGTTAGGTATTGGTACAGAAACAATAATTGGCTTGGTAGAAAACAGTTAACTGCAGAAGAACTTAGAAGACTGCAGTCACTGACAGGACACAGGGACAAAAATAATTCCCATTTATCCCCATTCCTGTTGCGACTACCTGGTTGGGTGCTCGGGGCAGTTTCAGCATTTCTTGTCTTGCGAGGCGACCCTTGCTAATCCTTTTTAATGAGCGGGGCAGTTTCATCGTTTCAAAAGTACCCAAAACGTCGGGGCAGTTTCACTACGCCCGTTTTATTTACAGCGCGGGGTGGAATAGAGAAGCCCGTACTGTATATTAAAAATTTTGGTCGAGTTTTCGACCACTGGACAACCTATAAATTAACTCGTTCTTATTCATAGGTCAAGCATTGTGAATGTAGAATAAAGGTATAGCCGTAGCACGTGAATATGTCTGTTATCCTGGTGTGACGTATGACACACTATGACACACCATGACACTGACAATGACTCCGTTACCAGGAACTACGGCACGGCACGCGTCCTGCTATGGTCCTGTCACAGGTCCTGTATGTAGAGTGGTAGCGCGGCGTATAGCCGTAGCACGTGAATATGTCTGTTATCCTGGTGTGACGTATGACACACTATGACACACCATGACACTGACAATGACTCCGTTACCAGGAACTACGGCACGGCACGCGTCCTGCTATGGTCCTGTCACAGGTCCTGTATGTAGAGTGGTAGCGCGGCGTATAGCCGTAGCACGTGAATATGTCTGTTATCCTGGTGTGACGTATGACACACTATGACACACCATGACACTGACAATGACTCCGTTACCAGGAACTACGGCACGGCACGCGTCCTGCTATGGTCCTGTCACAGGTCCTGTATGTAGAGTGGTAGCGCGGCGTATAGCCGTAGCACGTGAATATGTCTGTTATCCTGGTGTGACGTATGACACACTATGACACACCATGACACTGACAATGACTCCGTTACCAGGAACTACGGCACGGCACGCGTCCTGCTATGGTCCTGTCACATGTCCTGTATGTAGAGTGGTAGCGCGGCGTATAGCCGTAGCACGTGAATATGTCTGTTATCCTGGTGTGACGTATGACA